TATACAGTCAATTGATTTTCAACAAAGGTGATAAGAATACTCAGTTGAAAAAGAACAGTCTCTTCAATAAAGAGCATAAAGAGTGTTGGGAAAGCTGAATATCCACATGCAGAGAAACGAAATTGGACCCTTATCTCACACCACATAACAATGAACTTAAAAAAGGGTAAAGACTTAAATATAAAATCTGAAATTGAAAAGTGACTAGAAGAAAACATATGAGGCAAATGATATGATGTTGATTAGAACAATGATTTTTTTTAATTTGACTCACAAAATTCAGGCAACAAAAACAAAAATACACAAATAAGACAACATCAAACTAAATCTTCTATACATAAAGTGAAGCAATTAACAGGGTAAACAGACACATATGGATTGGGAGAAAATATTTGGAATGCATATATCTGATAACAGCTTAGCACCCAAAACACAGGAGACAGTTAAACAACTCAATAGCAAGAAAACAAATAACCCAATTTTGAAATTGGGCAAGGGACCTAATTAGATATTTCTCAAAAGAAGACATACCATATGGCCAATAGATACATGACATAATGCTCACCATCACTGATCATCAGAAAAAATGCAAATCAAAACCACAATAAGATATCATCTCACACCTGTCAGAATGGCTATTACCAAAAAAAGATGAAAGAAAACAAGTGTTGGTGATGATATGGAGAAAAGAGAACTCTGATACACTGTTGGTGGGAATGTAAATTAGTACAGCCATTATGAAAAACAATATGGATGTTTCTAAAAAAATCTAAAAATAGAATTACCATATAGTGCAGTAATTCCACTTTGGAGTCTATTTCTTAAAAAATTGAAATCAGAACATTGAAGAGATGTCTGCACTTCCATGTTCATTGCAGCATTTATTCACATTAGCCAAGTTGTGCAATCTACCTAAGTGGCTATCAACAGATAGATGGATAAAGAAAATGTGGTATATATACACATGGAATATTATCTAGCCTTAAAAAGAAGACATTTCTGCCATTGAGACAATGTGGATGGAATTGGTGAAATAAGCCAAGCAAAGAATGACAAATATCACATGTTCTCACCTATATGTGGACTTTAAAACAATTGAATTAATAGAAGCAGAGGGTAGAAGGGTGGTTACCAGAGTGTGAGGGTGGGAGAAATGGAGAGATGGTGATGAAAGGATACAAAGTCTAAGTTAGACAGGAGAAATTAGGTTTTGAGTGTGTGTATTTTTTTTAAATTCGTTGCATGGCATGGTGAGTGTAGTCAATAATGGTATATTGCATATTTCAAACTTGCTAGTTGAGTAAATTTCAGTTCTCACCACAAAAATGACAAATATTTGAGGTGATGGATATGTCAATTAATTTAATTACTCTATTGTATTCATAAAGATAACATTACTCAGCATTTTATAAATATATACAATTATATTTTTTCGATTTACGATAAGATCAAATTTTTTCAATTAAAAAATTTAAAGAACTTATTTTAATGTCAGATATGTATAATAGATTTTTTTTTGTAATGGCTAGACAGTTCTTATTTGTATTGAAATGTTTTCTAGACCATACATTTAGTCCCATTGTCTGCTGATTTTTATTATACTCAGTGCCATACTTTAAAATGATTATAATTTATGTTTTATTGTATTATCTGTTACTATAATTTTTTCTAATACATTATATGATGGTTTGGCTCCATGTCCCCACCCAAATCTCATCTTGTAGCTCTCATAATTCCCATGTGTTGTGGTAGGGACCTGGTGGGAGATTACTGAATTGTGAGGACAGGCCTTTCCCATGCTGTTCTTGTGACAGTAGACAGTAAATGGATTTCATGAGATCCAATGGTGTCTTTTTTTTTTTTTTTTTTTTTTTGAGATGGAGTATCCTTCTTGTTGCCCAGACTGGAATGCAATGGCGCGATCTCAGCTCACTGCAACATCTGCCTCCCAGGTTCAAGTGATTCTCCTGCCTCAGCCTCCCAAGCAGCTGGGATAACAGGCATGTGCCACCACACTTGGCTAATTTTGTATTTTTAGTGGAGACAGAGTTTCACCATGTTGGTCAGCCTGGTCTTGAATTCCCGACCTCAGGTGATCCACCCACCTTGACCTCCCAAAGTGTTGAGATTACAGTCATGAGCCACCTTGCCCTGCCAGAGATCTGATGGTTTTAAAAACAGGAGTTGCCCTGCACAAGCATGTAGGCATGCAGAGGTGGGGAATTTTTAGCACTTGTGAAATTTGAGAACATGCTTCTTCATGCATCGTATGTCTCATTGGCATTTTAAATCTCCACCTTTGGATGTGATTTTTAGTATTAGAGGAGATTATAATGAGGAAAATCTCAGTGAAAGATTAGTGCTGGAGTCCATCTTGTCTTTAGCCAGCTGGATCTGGTCAGGTTCTTATGAGGAATGCCAGAGTCCCTCTTTAACAAAATTAGGAGAAGTACTGTAATTCAACAACATAAATGGCAAGGTTCTTTCTTATATGGATAGGGATTCAGCTTGTTCAGCTGAGTTAGGAGCAGGGCAGATTTCTGCTATGTGACTTGGGTCAGCTTGCTAAGAGAGGCAAGGAGGTAGGGGAGGGAATATGCCTGGACGTGTGAGACCCATGGAGTCTTGGTTATTATGTCTCTTGTCTGCTGGGACTGAGACGCTTCCCTATACTGTCTCAATTGGAGTATAAATCCTTTCCAGTTGCAGGAAAGCTGTGGTTTCTTATATGTACTCATATTACAATTTTAATTCTTTCGACTATCTTTCTAAATGATAATGACATCACTAAAGATGACTCGATCCTTCAGAAGCCACTCTGATGAACATTTGTCTTCAATAAAACTTCATTTAAGAGACATTTTCAAAAAGAAAGGGGATAAAATTTCTCTGGCCCAATGGGTAGCACTTGTTTTGGCTGATATGCAGAGGTCTCCAAATGCAATTCTCCAAATGCAAGTAAATCGAAGGATTTACTTGGCTGTAGCTACCTCTCTATATTCAGCTCTCTCTATTCCCCCTCATATTTCTGATTTCTGTGCTTCAATACCTTCACATACTTCTTCTTCCTCTTACTCAGACCTCTAGCTTTTCCCAGCAACGCTCCTGAAACCCCAAAATTCCAGGGACCTCTGAGACAGGTCACACTTGACAGTTTACTTTAAAAGTAAGCAGGCTTCCAAATGTACTCATGTTGGGGAGGTCTTGTAATTCACGGCAACATCCAGTCCCTGAGTAAAAAATATTAATGTGAATTTTCAAAATTGTTTACTGATTAATGTATGACCTACTTTATTGAAAAGAACACTTATTTATTTCTGAATCATGAAGATTCATGATTGTCTGGCATGTAAACATTTTAGTCAGCATGTTGCAATCTGTATCCAATGATTGTAATCTTTGTATTGTACCCTCCAATGAGAAAGGATAACTTGCATGAGGAGTCCTCTTTCCTTCTTCTAAACTTTCCTATAAAAGTCTTTCAACTTGTAACAGACTCTGGAACACTCCCAACTTTCCAACTTGTAACAGACTGAAACACTCTGGATTGTTAATTTGTCTTCCAGGATTTATCCTCAATTTGTCTTTCCAAGAAATTGTTATCTAATTATTTGTCTCAGCCTTATTTTGCTGGGTACTTCTAAAAATTCTTTCTTCTCATGATCCAGGTATGAAGGGAATTACAAAGTTTAAATCTTGTAACTGAATTAAGCTGAATTAAGAACTCTAAATAAAAGATTTCCCTAAACTCAAATAAGATTGGCAAATATTCATAGAAGAATTTATAATTCTTTTGGATGAACATGACCCAGGGTTTCCTGATTGCTGTAGATGGAATGTTTTTTTTTCCTCGAACTCAACTTTCGAAGCCCTAACTTCCAGTGTGACAGTATTTGGAGATGGGCTCTTTGGGATGTAATTAGGGTTAAATTAACTTATGAGGGCGAGGACCTCCTGATGGAATTAATGACCTTATTAGAAGAAGAAGAAATCTTTCTCTTCTTGTCTGTGAAAAAGCAAAGAGGAAAGGCCAGGTGAGGACACAGTAAGTAGGCAGCCACCTGCAACCCAAGGAAAGAACACTTCCCACCCTCTAGAACTGTGAGAAAATAAATTTCTGTTGCTTAAACCACCCAGTACGTGGCATTTTTTTATGACAGTCCTAGTGTTGCGGGACGTTTCCTTAGTTCAGCTAAAGACAGGGTTCTTATCTGTCCCATGGCCATGAAAATTTAGGCTTGCAAATGGTTCGAAGGGTGAATAAAGCCGGGTTTTATTGGGTGAAAGGGAAAAAAGGGGGGATCTGCTAGAGCGCTTCCTGCCAGGCAGTTTGAATCTCAGTTTCCATCCAGGAAGAGAAGGGGACAGGCTCAGGCTCCTCCCTATGGCAAAGGTCCTGAATTTCCCCAGGCTCCACCTCTGTGGGCAGGCTGATTGGAGTTTCTCCAGGGAACCCCTCCCATTAGCAGTCTCTGTCTCACTAGCAGTGTAACACACTGACCTATGTGTGACCTATAACAACTTGCAGTCATGTTGGTTAAAATCCGAAATGCTAAATCCTGGATGACAAAAGCTGGTTATGTTTTCCTGGAAAGGGAGCTATAGAATCCTTCTTCCCGCAATAAATCTGAGGGTCAAAAAGAAAAAAATTTTTTAAAGGCTATAAGAGTAGGTTGAAGTCTCCTAAAAGCCAGACCTGAAACATTTCCAACAAAAATTAATTGGACCATAATTCAGTCATGCAAACTGATGAAACTAAAGGAGATTTTCAGAATAGACGAGAAAATACCTTCCAACATTTGGAAGCTAAAGAAGATGTTGATGTAATAGCTACTCTTTCGTCTCATTTTGCCAATGGAGTTAAGCCTGAAATTGAAGATCCAATTTAAAAACTAATTAGAATGGAAATAACCCCCTTATCTGCAGTACAATACCTAGTACAGCATTTTGAAAGGGCTTTAGAATAAAAATGAAACAGGTTCTAAAATAAACTTGTAGCACTACTAATCCAACAGCTAGGTTACCCATTTTATAACAAGTGACTTATTGACAAGGTCATGTTTGGATATTGTTAACAGGACACAGGAAAGAAGATTGTCCCATCTTACAAGAGACAAAAAAAGACAGAAAAATTCCTAATTCAGATCAATCGATGTTCTCACAAAAACCAGAAAAGGAAAAAGCATCCAATATTCTGCCTGATACTAAACAATCAGTGAATACGATACAAATATAGATGGTCAACTTCATCAATTCCTGGTAAATAAGGTTTCTACTCTTTCTACATTAAACCCTGCCATCTTTGCTCAACCTTTTCTGTGGAGTAAGCATATTACACAGGCAGTATTTCCAATACCCCACAGATTTTCCCTGTATCTCAGCCCTTAACTGTAACTATTGGGCTTTAACTGCAAAAACATTCCTTTCTATCCTGTGATACCACTCCTGCAAATTTAATAGGAAGAGATTTACTTTGCAAATGGAACTCTAATACTTTTTTTTTGTTTGGTTTTTGTTTCTTTAATTTTTAAAGTTTTTAAAATTTTTTATTGTATTATTATATAATATTTTTTAATTATATTATTAAAATTTTTATTGTTCTGGGGTACATGTGCAGAACATGCAGGTTTGTTACATAGGTATACACATGCCATGGTGGTTTGTTGCATCCATCACCCCATCATCTACATTAGGTATATCTCCTAATGCTATCCCTCCCCTATCTCCCCACCCCATGCTATCCCTTCTCCAGTCTCCCAACCCCCTGACAGGGCTCAGTGTGTGATGTTCCCCTCCCTGTGTCCATGTGTTCTCATTGTTCAACACCAATTTATAAGTGAGAACAAACCTTATTTAATACATGGTGTTGGGAAAACTGGCTAGCCATATGCAGAAAGATGAAACTGGATCCCTTCCTTACACCTTATACAAAAATTAACTCCAGATGGATTAAAGATTTAAACATAAGACCTAACACCATAAAAACCCTAGAAGAAAACCTAGGCAATACCATTCAGGACATAGGCATGGACAAGGACTTCATGACTAAAACACTAAAGGAACCACAATATTAAATGTTCTCCAAAGGGACTAGCTTTTAAGGTTGCAGAGAACACTTCTATTCATAATTGTGTCTGCTCAACATGTAAGTTTGCTTTCTCCATTGTATTTAATACATATCCCAGATAAGGATCTTGACATTATATCTGGCTAGATCTTTTTTTTTTTAATTGCATTTTAGGTTTTAGGGTACATGTGAAGAACATGCAAGATTGTTGCATAGGTACACATATGGCAGTGTGATGTGCTGCCTTCCTCCCGATCACCTATATCTGGCATTTCTCCCCATGCTACCTCTCCCCAAATACCCACCCCCGGCTGTCCCTCCCCTATTTCCTCCCTACAGACCCCAGTGTGTGATGCTCCCCTCCACAGGGGAGGGGAGTTCTGATTGTCCATGTGTTCTCATTGTTCAACACCCACCTATGAGTGAGAACATGCGGTGTTTGATTTTCTGTTCTTGTGGCAGTTTGCTGAGGATGATGGTTTCCAGGTTCGTCCATGTCCCTACAAAGGACACGCACTCATCGTTTTTGATGGCTGCATAGTATTCCATGGTGTATATGTGCCACATTTTCCCTGTCCAGTCTATAATCGATGGGCATTTGGGTTGGTTCCAGGTCTTTGCTATTGTAAACAGTGCTGCAATGAACATTCATGTGCATGTGTCCTTATAGTAGAACAATTTATAATCCTTTGGATATATACCCAGTAATGGGATTGCTGGGTCAAATGGAATTTCTATGTCTAGGTCCTTGAAGAATCGCCACACCGTCTTCCACAATGGTTGAACTAATTTACACTACCACCAACAGCGTAAAAGTGTTCCTATTTCTCCACATCGTCTCCAGCATCTGTTGTCTCTAGATTTTTTAATGATCGCCATTCTAACTGGTGTGAGGTGGTATCTCAATGCAGTTTTTATTTGCATTTCTCTGATGACCAGCGATGATGAGCATTTTTTCATATGTTTGTTGGCCTCATGTATGTCTTCTTTTGTAAAGTGTCTGTTCATGTCCTTTGCCCACTTTTGAATGGGCTTATTTGTTTTTTTTTGTTTTGTTTTTGTAAACCTGTTTTAGTTCTTTGTAGATTCTGGCTATCAGCCCTTTGTCAGATATATAGATTGCAAAAATTTTTTTCCCTTTCAGTTGGTTGCCGATTCACTCTAATGACTGTTTCTTTTGCTGTGCAGAAGCTGTGGAGTTTGATTAGGTCCCATTTGTCTATTTTGGCTTTTGTTGTCAATGCTTTTGGTGTTTTTTTGTCTTTATTTTAAGACCTGGAATATACTTTTGTGACCAAGACT